GCGGATGAGGATTGGTTTAGTCTCTGCGGATTAAACGCTTTTGCAGCAAAATGATTTGGAGCAACCCCCTCCAAACTCAACCCCCCACCTCCACCTGTCCTGGGCAGCATTTTCAATATATGTTTTTTGTAATGGACAGATATTATTTTCAATGATGCATTACTATTCAGTTTTATTTAAACCTTTTAGTCTTTCTTTAAATTTTGTTATGATTATTATTATTATCTGGACAGAAATATATTCCAACTGTTTCTTCCATTTTTTTTTAAAACAGACTGTAGGAACCCATCCGTTCTGCTGCAGTTTAGTAATTTAGACCTGCGACATGCCGTGTGAGGAGTTCAGCGCAATTTTTATTCAAATTGCACATTTTTAAAAACAGCAGCACCAAATGCTTTTATCAAAAAAGACAAACCACTAACAGGCTGAAAGCATGGAGGCCTAAAGTCTATGGATTCCTAGTGCTTTATATCGTCACAACTGTTTTTTTAAATAATAATAATGATCATTTTTATTCTTTAGAGAACCATATAGGTCCTAGACAGCATCTTCCTTTCCATGAATTAGAAGTGGAACCACAGAACATACACTAAAACATAAGAGCTGTTCAAGGAAGACAGGAACTTCAACCACAGAAGCTAACACAAGAAAAACATTAGATGGATGTTAAATATTTAAAGCCATATACTTAAACTAAAACACAATTTATCATCGATAAAAGGCTAAACCTTTCCTTCAAGGCAGGAACACTTTTAACAGTATAAATATCGAGAATAGTGTCTGTTTCACTATAGAAATATTTTACCGTATCTTTGAATTGGGTCTAGTTCAGTAAGTACAGTAGCGTGATGTTGGAAGATTTGACTTCCAATAAATGGGAAGAGATCCATCCTAAAGATTCCTGCAAGAGGAACCTGGTTCTGCTGTAAAGTGTAATGCAGCATAATATGCTGAATTCAGTCTGTTCTTATTGAGAAAAAGTGACATGGAAATAAATAATATCATTAGAAGGATATTTGGACATGTTTTAAGAAAAAAAAAAAGGGAACACCTTTTTAAATAATAACAATAAAGTTTAGCTCTAAGCTTTTTGAATACCTGAAGATCATTTTTCATCTCCTCAGAATAGACTTTACATCAACCAGAGTGATAAAAGAACATAAATATTAACAGCTCAACATCTGACATAATGTTGCTGCAAATGATTATGTCATCAGCGTATAAATATATTCTGGTGCTTTCTCGATTATAGCTCAGATTAGGCTAATAGAAGCTTTATTACAAGGTTATATATGTAATTCTGTATTACCATCTGGGAACTTAAAAAATAAACAAACAAAAACAACAACAAAAAAAAAGAAAGAAAGAAGAAAATGGCACAGAGAACAGATCCCAGAGGAACATCAGTAGATTTTTAAGGTGGAGCGTTTGTGTTGTTTTCTATGGTAACCATCTTAAGTTCTGTCAGATACATAATTTCAACAACAGTCTGTGGTCAACTCATAAGAACAAAACACCCAAGACTTACATGTTTTAGCTGAATCAACAACATTTCTGTTTGTAGTATAAGTCAATGACACAATTTGCATCCGTTTTCAATTAAACACGCAGCAATTAATTACTAAAATAGAAGTTTGTTTATTTTTGAGAAGATATTGAGTCATTTCTGAATAATAATAAAAAAGAATAAAGCCCAGTGTGCACTGACATGAATTTTCACACATCCAAACCAACGCTCACATCTGATGGACTGATGGACTGACCACTGCATCCCCCACCCACACCGCCTCATCCACACAGGATTAGTTTTAGTCGGTTGCTGCTGCTGCTGTCTCTGCTGCTGCAGCTGCAGTTCTCGCTTCGAGATGCTGCGCGATCAAATGACCACGTCCAGATGGCTTATGATTATCAAGCATTGCATTTAAAGCGCGCACTCCCCTGCACATTGCGTAACACTTTCTTGACCGGGAGCAAAAATACCTTCGCTGCGACACCAAAACTGTGACAGCAGATTTCCTTTTTGTCTTCTACAACCCGATTTACAATGACGTCAGTAAAGTTCATACGACCTGGTGATGGAGGGCCAGAGCTGCACCTCGGGGCCTTCACACGGCCTCTGCTCCTCATTCCTCCTCCTCGGTTTTACGCAGCAGTGCGCGCACACGGTGCGCCCGCTTCGCTTTTGGGACGCTTAATATATGCGTGTGAGCGCTGGCCACGCTCCTCTCGGACGGGCAGTGAGAGTCCATTTACCTGCTGTTGATAATCAGATAACCGGGCGCACAAAACCCGTCTAATATTTAGAGGTGATGCGGCCGGCTCCGGTTACGCTCCATTCAGAGCGAATAGCGACGGTGAAATCAAATCCTGACCGCCGCCGCCGCTCAGCAGGAGCCCCATCAAAAAAAAAAAAAAAAAAAAACCCTTGACGTGGTTTCCACCTGCTGAAACCCGAACCGTGGAACCGCCGTGTGAGGGACGGCCGTGTGTAAAGGAGACGAGGAGCTTTCTATGAATATTTAATAATAATAAAAAAAAAACTCATTCGGTTCCTTTTCGTGACGGAACCCGATGAGATCGGATGATGGAGGCGGGATGAAACAATGATGCTGCGAGAATTAGTCAGTCGGATCACTGAGCGGGAATATTTCAATAACCTGGGATTTGATGAGACACCATACAGGAAAAAAAAGAAAAGAAAAAACAAAGAAAAAAGCGAGCGGCACACAAACTGTGACAAGTGATGGACCTGATTGAATCAAAAAGAAGGAGCATAAGTATGATCAATACAATCGAATAAGAAATTTAGACATGTTAATTTTATATATTCATTGTATATATAAAAGAAACGCAAACAAGTAAAGCCGTGATAAACTTGAGAACATTTTCAAACACAACCGAATATAAAAACAACAAACAAATATCAATTCATTAATAATAATAAAAAAAACATTTTCTAAAATGGGTTACATGGATTGTTTTGTTCAATTCAACACATCAATATTTCGCAGCATATTTATTTGATTAGTATTTCTCAGACCAATTCGCTGTAAAGCTATTTATTATTATTATTATTATTATTATTTTTCATTTGGGAAACAGTTGTGCCAGGTTTGCCTTTAATTTCTCTTCCTGTTCTGTTCTGTTTTGGGGTTTTTGGGCGATAGAGGCCATGCTAATCAGTAGCTCATGTATTAGTAAAGACCCGGCGATCATTGTGCTGCTTGCTGCTGTTGCAACCCCAGACATCAGTTACGGGCCTGAAACGGAGCTTGTAACCCGAGAGGACCGATCGTCTGCCACCAAAAACCCCATTCTGAGGAACCCAACACCCAGAACGCGCTGATGACACTTCCCTCTGATTGGTTGATGAGCTCCCGGCTTCCCAGCATGATCCCGTTGCACGCACACGTCGTGTTGTACGTAGGAATCAACAGGGGCTCTGTTTTATGAGCGGGATACGACTTCATCTTTCAGTGCAGAGAGACTCGGGGGTCACTTCCTGCTAAAAGCTTCGTTCTGGAAAACGCTCGAGACGACAGCGATTGATCACGCCTCGCAGCAGACGGCTCGCGAGCCCTAATGTGGAGCCTGCGGGCTTCGTAATGCCTTAAAAGGCCACAGAGGCGCAGGACACCTGACCGGCCCCGTCTCCGCGCGGGGCCAATCGCGTGGCTCCTGCAAGGGCTTTTGGGATTACGTCAGCGAGCAACGCACTGCGGATAAAACAGGAGCTTTAAATATTTCATTGAGGCTCTCAGGTTGCTGGACTTCTGGAGGTCGGGCCCCCTCATCCTCCCCTCCAGTAACCTCCTTCTGATGAGGAATAAAAGGGAAGTTTTGTTGAAACTGACTCTGACAGAACAACGCAATGTGAAGCGAAAGGAAATTGAGGAATGGTTTTTCCTTAACACCTCAACAAAACAAAACAAAAAAAACTTTATAAATCAGAATTAGAACATTTTACACAGACATCCTATTGTGTAAAACCTCATCTGAAATTCTGCACAGAGTCCGATATGTCAACGATTTGAAATTTAAAAAGCCATGTTCACGTTTTAGTCCGTCTTCAGCTGCAGTTGCTCTTTAATTATTTGGCTTTTTTTTTCCAGAGATGGGAGATAAATTCCACTTTTTGGCTTTGCAGCCGTGATAAAGACAAACAGGAAGAGAGGACAGATTGCTGCGTGACAGAATACATTTTTTTCAGAGGAGAGGATTAAACGGCCTTGTGTCAGAACATTTATCCCCCCCTGCTGTGATTACACAGAGGGCCGGTGGGGAGTTTCAGCTGATGGACAGAGGGACGGAAGATGAGCGAGCGCCCTCGTCTGGTCCACTGGTTGAACAGCACCCAGTCATGTTTTCAGGGTACGCATCAAACTCGGGAATTATTAACTCCAGTCGAAAGTAGTTAATTTACCATAGAGTAAAAACAGAAGCTAAAGTCAGGAGATGCTCATGGAACCACCTACATTTCAGGTAACAGCAGCGGAAACGGCTCCATCAGCTTCGCAGCACGGACAGGAAGCACGCGTCACTCTGGACATTTCTGCACCGACCGCTGAGCGAGACCACAGTGACACCTAGTGGAATGATGTGGAAAGCAAAAACTTCCATTTGAACTTGAGATGTGGGTCATTATCGACTAAAATAACCTCTTAAAATGTCGTTTTGACACAGCTATTTTGAATGGACTAAAACAGCAACGAAAAAATACATTTTCATCCATGAAACAAAGTTAATATAAATGTTATTAATCAAGTTTTCCCTTCTACACGTAGAGATAGAAACACACAGAGCAAACTATAAGTTGCATTGGGCCCTAGAGGGATGTTTTAGCTGCCACCGAAGATAATCAGTCTTAAAAATTATTTATATTTTGCTTGGCCGATAAAATATTTTCTGACTTTTGAAACAAAACAACAAAAGCATATTTGATGGCACTTTTAACTATAGGACTCACCAAGCATACAAAAGAAATCACCATCACACAGAAGCACATATACATATTCAATGTTTTATTAAAAAAGAAGTTATAACAGTTTATTTTATACACAACTATTTATGAGAGTATAAGCCTGTTAACAGAGAGCATTTGTCTTTTTGACAAGCATGCCCACTTCACAATGGGGAGGGGGAACAAAAAGGGAAAATAAGATGAACAAATTAAGACCAGAATGAACTTCTTTTAACAGATCAAAACATAAAACCTTCTGTCTTTTTAAATGCTGCAAGTATCACAATAGGTACCAAATACAGTTTTTTTTCCTTTTTTTTTTTTTTTTCTTCAAACATACATGTTCAACGCAGTGTGTGCTTGATAAAAATGGGCTGATGATGGTAAGAGTGCCTGGAAGGGGTTAGAAAATCCACACAAGCACCAGAAACTGAGTGAAGGTGTGCACTGAGAAGCATGCAACTGTTAGAAGGAGACACAGTCAACAAAGCGGAGGGAGAAAGAGAGATAGAGAGAGAAAGAGAGAGGAGGGATCTGTTTGTGCAGACGACTCTTCGGTTGTGCTAACAGAGTGGGGCTTTTAAAGTTTGGCTTAAGCTCCCCGTCGTTCTATCCAACAAGGTGCGCAGGCGAGCACAGATCACGGTCCTCAACAGCCAAGAAGCTTCAAGATGAGAACCTACGTCAGGTCAAAACTAGACATCTTAATGCTCAGCGGATGTAAAATGCTTTGGGTAAGTCGACCTTATTTTTCATGATTCTTTTCTGGAAACAAACCAACCTCAGCGCTCCGGTATATCAATAACTCTGAAGTAGAGATGCATCGATCAGGCTTTTCCCAGCCACTAAAAATAATTTCAGTTCAACTTAAATAAATGCACAGATGCATTTTTAGGACAAAAATGTTTAGTCTTAATTTTATTAATTTAATTAAGAGGGGAGATTTCAGTATTTTACTCACTTATGATCAATGAGAGATGACCAAAAGGAAACTTGATGATTCCAATTTCTGGCCAACTGACTGGTCCATTTCCACTCTAGATGGTTTTTGTAGTTTTTTTTTAATTATTTTAAGACATTTGCATGATAAATCAGCTCCTATATTAAAAATATATTTTCCTAGGATGTCCAAGGCAAGTGTCACGAGCAGTACGTAAACTAAAAGGTAACACGTGGAACATCTTGAAAAGGAAAGTTTTCACCAAAAGCCACACAGCTGCAGGAGAGAGAAATTCACACATCTTTAGAAAAAAATAAATAAAAAATTCTCCTGTTTCAAACTCAAAACAAAAGGGATTCCTCTGCATCTGAACGAGTGGATGTTCAAGAGCACAACAACAGTCTGACAGTAGAGCGATCCGAGCCACATTTCTGCTTTCTGTACAAGTCAGAGCCGTCGCAACCACTGCACCTCAAAATAAAACCGGACTAGTGTGAAATCGCTGTACAAGCTTGAGCGGGTGCATCTCTACAGCTAGATGAGAGTGAAAAGAAACTCATTTGTAGGTTTATCCAACTACAAACCTATCTGACGCAGTAAAAAACAAAACAAATAAAAAACAGCTCAATTCCTGCATGATTTCCAGCTTTTTTTAAAAAAATACCTTCTAGGTGAAACATGGTTAACCACAATGCAGAACAGAAGCAAAGAGTACTTCAAACATCAGCTATAATAAAACCAGGGGTGTTTCAGATTAATTTTGTGTCGGCGCACAAAGACACAACAGAATGAACTCGCACCCTGAAAAGAAAAAGGACGAGAGTTAAAACGATGTGCTTCTCTAGAATAAAACAAGTCGTCTCCATGGCTTCTTAAATACATGGCGTTTGCTGAGTGTCTTGATGCAATGATGAGGCACAGAAGAGGGGGCGGGAGGGTTAAACCGAAGGTGACGTGATGACTTCCCAGACAGCATGCATTATTCATCTTGGAAACCAGAGCTACAAAATATGTCAGTGTTCTGGATTTGCACCAATTTTCACCCTGATCAGCGTCAAAAAGTTAATGTTTTGGCTCAAACAGTTTTTTTTTTTGTTGTTGTTTTTTTAGGAGGCCGGAGCCATATACAGTAGGCAGACACTTTATTAAAAAAAAAACAAAACAAAAAAAAACCTCAATATTTTTATCACAAAGTGAACAATTTCTTTTCTTTTTTTTAAGGAGTACAGGTTTGGGGTAATAAAAACAACTTATGTTTGCACTTGTAATGTTCTTTCAGCATCATTACTTACCACACAGAGAGGTTTGTTTTAGGTTAAGGAGACCAATTTCTACCTAAAATTTACTTTCCCCAAATGTCTTTTTCTTCTTCTTCGTAAAAGCAGACTACCACTCGTCGGGCAACACAGCACAGGTCGGACCGATTGCAAAGGGCATAGAGCAGTGGAATGTGAGAAGCACTAACCTGTATGTAGAGGCCAAAAAAAAAAAAGACAGAAAAACCTAAGAAACAGAAAAAAAAGCGCTCTTCATTTTCAGCCAGATCAACCCAAAAACTCAAAAATCATTGGGCGTGGGATGCTTCACAAGTTTAAAACTCCCTTTCATGCTGGTTTGTAGCAACAAGGACAATCTGCTTTCTGACTAGTAAGAATAATTTTATTCTTAAAAAAACAAAACAAAAAAAAGAAACAGGCCAAAATATGGTTTATATTACAGACTTTTTTTTTGTTTTGTTGTGTTTTAATACGAAATACGCTTAAATCAGATACCCAAAGCAATCCATGTCACCCTGTGGTCAGACAGGCATTCATCTGTATTGTAATATCTGCCCGTTAATTTTTTCTTCTTATTTTAAACACCGAGACGGTCAAAAGAGTGAAACAAAAAATATGTAACATCCGACACAGCACTTAAATTGAAACAGACCTTATTATTCCAGACTTTTCTTCATTGGTATATGTTACCAGAGATATGCTTAGCAAGTATCCTGCATTCATCGATGAGTATCTAGTGGGGCTGTGTGCCTTAAAATAAGAGTTTTGTAACCTGAAGAAAACAGAGGCATGCCCCCTGCCCCTACCTTGCTCTAGTTAGCAACAGTTGTGCGCAACACAGCCAGCACAGCAGAGAGGGACGGGGGAGGGATATGCAGAACGTGTCTCGTTTCAAATTTGCAACGAAAGCCAACTTTTGTCTCAAAAGTTATCAAGTTTTTACAAATACTGTCTCGGAGGGGATGGGAGCACTTCTCGCCTTCAAAGAGCAACCGACATCTTACCAATTAGCGTGGAGGAAAATGACTGGCTGTGTCAAATTTAGAAAGAAAGAAAAAAAAAAAGTCTAAGCAAAGAAACGGGACGCTTCAGGTGGAAGGGGAGGAATTTTACAACATCGAACAAATGCAGCAGAGATTGTGAACGACTACAGAGGAAAAGGGGCGTCTGTCAAAACACACCAAAGGCTATATATCCATAAAAATCCTTGTTTAGTCGTAATAATAAAAATAAAAAAATCAACTTGTTTAAATATGAATATTATAAGTCTGCTTTCTCGTGGTTAGGAAATCAAATATAGTCTCTGTGGGGGTGGGGGGGGGGTTAAAGGAAGGGGAGTGATTGGGAGGGAACCCTTTATTACTACAACTCCATGTCCTGGGCTTCGTCTTCTGAGAAATCAGACATGGAGCTTTCAGATGAAGAGTCTCCCGTCCCTTCCTCCTGCTCCTTCAGAGCTTCCTCTGTTGCATATTTCTGAATGTACTCTGGAGAAGAAAAGACAGAAAACAAGAGTCACAATGGCTCACAGGATTCAAATAAAAACTGAAACTTTTTATTTTATTTTTTTAAACTCATTTAGGATTAACCTTTGATTTTTTGTTTGTACTCCTCTGGCCGATGAAGATACATGGCAGCTGCGTCGCCGTTAAGGGGGTCGATGGGGTTTGGGTAAGCCAGCAGTTGGGGCAGGAACGATTCAAAGATGTTGGTCAGATCTAAGCATGAAAACAACAACAAAAGTTCTGAATTTGACCATTGCAAAAAGCTCACCCACACTAGAGCTAAACCTAATGGAGCAAATCTAAGCCGGTAATAGAAAACATTCCACTGCAGCTCCGGCTGGGCGTTTTGGATCCATGTTCTGCTGGTAGGTGAACCTCCCAACGCTCTGAAGTCTTTTGAAACCTCCAACAGGTTTTTTTTTTCCCCACGCTGCATTATGTTTTATGTGAATAAAAATATTTTTCTTGCTGCTGTTCCACAGTACGACTATTTTTCGCCTATCAGACTCTCCCAGCTGAGATGTAGGTCTGTGCAGCTCTTCCAGAATAACCAATGGCTTTATGACTTCTTTTTTAAACCTGATAAGGTGCCGTTTCAAAAATCCGTAAAGTAATGAGATCAAATATTTTTGACTCAAACTTGTTTTTTTTTTTTTCATAGCTGGGCTTTTTTATTGTTTTTTTTTTTTTAGAAGACCTGCAATTCTCCCCTTCTCCACACAGTGTCACTGTTGGGTTTGGTCAAATTAAGCAGCTTCCCTCATCTTTTCAAAGCAATTAGCGCTTTTTAAGGCTTTCAATACGTCCCCCTTTGTAGGTAAGCCCTACACACAATTCTCCGACTATTGGCCTAGTTAAAACACCGTTCTCCAGTCTGATTGTCTTCTTCTAGACACAAGCGCAAATGATCAAAGAAACAAACAGAGCCTATGAGTCTAAAATTTATCTTCCCATGTGAGCACATTGGTTGTGATTAACAGAAATTGACACTGAAGCGTCAGCTCTTTACATCACTATGGCACCATTTCTCAGTTCAACTACTACTTTAGCTCCAGAGAGGCGACATCACGAGAAACTAATCGGGAAGTGTAACGAGAGCAAGCCATCTTAAAGCCGGCAAACAGAGACTCATCTGTCTGAGGTGAACGTTTCCTGACCTTGGTGGGTTACAGCGTTACCTTATTAGTGTTTACTTTTCTCCCCCAGTAAGTAGATTAGGACCAACAGTGTTTGTCTGGTGCTCAAGGGGCTGGCTATTCGGCCCTTTTCACACGGTTTTTGCCACAATGAATCATTCACAGGGTTTGGGTGGGCGAATTTAATTTAAACATGTACGTCTGTGAAATCACTCACCATAAAGAGCTGTCCATGTCTGGTTGATGACATCTAAGCACACAGTTCCTGACCTGAAAACCCAGAGGAAAGCAGAATTGTGGATATATATATATATATATATATATATATATATATTTGTATGCTCAAATATATCAATTATACCTCATTAATATCAGGGGGAAATGTTTCATAGCAAGATACATTTTGGATTTCCACCTAAAATTCCTCATCTTTACCTAAAATCAAACTTTTACACGCTTGTGTAACCCAACAAAACAATGAAACCAGTCACCCATCAAAAATGTATCTAGCAGCCAAACGTCACACTTTTGGAAAGTCTTTCCCAAAACATCAACCTCAACCATTTAACTTCTTAAATATGACTAAATGCTAGTTTTGTTCCAGAAATGTCTTTTCAAAACACTCTTCAGATTCTGGTAGAATAGTCCAGGTCAACTATTCTGTCAGAATGAAGTTAGGAGTTCGTCAGTGGCGTGGTTTGAGATCCTGTGGGTCTATTTGACCTATAAATACCTTATCCACCTCATGGGCTGGATTAAGAGTGAATGGAACTGTATATCTATAATAGACTTAATGTTTCATAGACCAGTAATTAATAAGCTTTATAATAAAATGTAGTAAAAACTAACAACTTTTAATAGTCTGGTTGTAATGCAATTACATGTAAAAAAAAAACACGACAAACACTGAGAACACAACATAAATATTTGACTTAAATGGACTCACGCTTCATCAATGTTGGGATGAAAAATCTTGTTCATGAATCCTGAAAGAGCGGAGTGAAATCAGCACAGTCTCAGTTAAAGCTAAACATCGGGTGCGTGACGGCAGAGCTCCTACCTATGGATGGCGATTTGAATGGGTATTTATCAGGAAGATCTACTCGCACTTTCCACACACCTCCCTCGTACGGCGCTGTGCATGACAAGAGGAAAGGAGATGATAAAGGAAGACCACCAAGCACACAAAATTGTCTTACTTCCCTGATGTTCCACCCTTCACACACTCCAGGGGCCCTTCAGTTGTGTCAATTTTCTCCGCTGCAGCCGGGCTTTGCACTCCCATCTCCATGCCTCTTTTATAGAGGAACACATTTCAGCCCGCGAGAAATCTTTACCTTCGAATCATTTCAGGATTATTCACAGACATCAAAGAGGAATGAGAGCTACACTAGTGAGTGTGCTGCTCTCCCAGAATAGCCGTGTGTAACAAGACCCTCTTGTACTGAAAGTGGGCAGCGCACACACTCGATACGGCTGGATGACGACGCACATGTACGTCGGCGTCCAGCAACAGCATCGAAGCTTCGTTTGACATAGTTTAGAGTCGTCAAGAGGAGCCTCTTCCTCTTTTCACCGATGCATGAGGGGCAGCGTGTGGCAGATGTTGTGAACACAATAAGGAGGAAGTATTTCCTGCAGATGAGGCCATGGCTCTACTTTGTTTCACACTTCGAAGCCTGAGGTCTGGTTTCAATTCATTTTACATTCCTACCCGGCTGTGAGGAACCTCCGTTTTTCACACAACAGAATCCCCTGATCTTTAGGATAACATTCATTATCGGTGTGTGTGTGTGTGTGTGTGTGTGTGTTTTGGAGTTAATAACTGAAAAATAACCACATCACTCCAACAAATCAAGCAGAGAATTTCATCTCAGGTCATGCCCTTTCAAAAACTGCTTGATGATAAATGACTAAACTAAGGAGCGAATATGTGGCTGAAAATGAGTAAAAATATAAAAATTGCAAGAAAAATTAAAATTAATAAAATCAAGCAGGAATACTTACTTCCTTGTGGGCCATAAAACTTCACTACAAATTCATTGAGTCCACTGAGGATGGTGACTTCATGCTTGCTCTCGATGCTGAAAGGCTGTTAAGGAAAACTGCTTTGTGATCAGATAAACAAAAACAAGCAAACAAACAAAACAAAAAAAAAACATCTGAAGTTTGCTTTTCTATTCTCTTCCCATGGTTTAACTGTAAGAACACAAGTTGCTTAAGTCTCTTTTCCACATTCAGCCCATCTTTTTCCATTTTAGATTGTGTACCAACAGCTTAAGAAGTCTGCAGTAGGAAACATAGTCTGATATTAACAAAAATGTGCAGTAAAAAAACAAAAACAATCATCAATATGATTTTATTTAGACATTAGCCACAAACCACTGGCATTTTTTATCTCCTCCCTTCTGCTCCAATAATTTCATTTTTCCCCAATTCAAGGTTAAAACCCTTCTGAATATTTAAATTTGTTCTTTAAATGATGCTTAAAATATGCATCACAGGAGAAAATTATATTGGAAGAAATTCCAAGTTGTCCTTGAGTTAAGCACAAAATTCACAACAAGAAACCCTCGAGACTCGAGCTGCATGAAACAAACATCTGTGAAGCTTATGTTTGCTCAAATTTTTACTCTTTTAAATCCCTTTTACTTCCCCACCCCCCCTTTTCCTGTGGGCAGAAAGAAGAACCACAAGACGCAAAACAAAAGAATAAGTGAATAAATCAACCACATAAACAGAAAAGCCCCAAAACCACAACAGCCAGAAATGACCGAAAACAGACTCACGGCAGCAGCGAGCTTGATTGAGCGCGTACCCCGTCAGTAGCATCACAGATATCAAAGGGTTAAATTGCACTGGAGGTTATTTTAAACTCCAGTTGAGTCTGCTAAGAGCAGAATGATTCCCTGGTTTCACTAAAGAAATGTGTCACTGTCAGACAGAAGAGGAAGCTTTCTGCTCAGATGTGAACTTGAGTCGGGGAGTCTCTTTCTGAGGAGAGTCGAGTGAAATCCAAGAAACACTGATAAATCACCAACATAGAGACAGGAGCTGATCAAAACCACCCTCCCCAAGTCCAACTAAAAGCAGTGTTCACGTGTTGCAGCTCGCCAAGCTCCGTCCTGGATGTGAGCACTTTGGGACATTTGTCCAACAGTGAGACCACTGGAGTGAGAGAAAAGCTGCACATACAACGCAGCGGAGGGGGGATGGACAGCAACGGTTACACTGGAAGATAACAGGTGGGGGATAAGAATCCATACGGATAAATGCTCGTAAAAAGAAAGTCATATTTTTGGACGTCAAATCCACATAAGCCACAAACATAGATGGTAAAATGATCGTCACTTCAGATAAGGTTTAAAAAGAAACTGTTGCAAAAAAGCCAGACGTACAAAAGCCAGAGTCTGAGTTTGGCAAAAAATAAATAAATAAAAGGGCTGCATCCCAAAAGCAAAAATAAATAAATAAAGATAAATCAATAATTGTGAAAAGTAAATTGATGCATTTCATCTTTAAAAATGTTTTTTCTTCTGAGAGAGAGCCCAAGTAATACTAGGCCTGGGTTCCCCTACAAATACTGAGGGATCAAAACCACTGAAAGTTTCTGCAATATCATTCCTGAAGAGTAAATGAAGTTGTTTTCTGGTCACAGTGCCGTCCTGTTCCACGTGTCACGACAAGCTTCTGTTTATCTGGCTAAAAGCAAGTACAATAAATAGCTTTTAGGAACAATTTCCTGCCAGAAATAACTAATAGTTTCCTTCAAACTAAAGGAGCGTCATACATCATGACGATGCTGGAGGGGAAGCCACAAGCGGCCAAGTCATTTTGCTCAAAACACCTAAAAATAAGCAACTAAAACAGAGAATTTATACATTTGCTTATGTCTCTGTATGACATCAACATAAATGTGAGAAGGGATTACTTTGAAAGACATGTTGCATGACCTCAACAACAGCAGGAGTAATTGCTGCTGTTACTGGACTGTTTTCCAACACTTCTGTGAACATTTTCCAGCTATTACAATGACAACGCAGTATTGTTGACTGGAGCTCGTCATGTCATGAGAAACGACTACCTGTTCTCCTGAGAACATCCTTCGCTTTGACAGTGAATACAGCTGGACTGGGAACATTCCATCTCCTTTACCTCATCCCACCAACAACAAAGCGCTACAACTTAATATGACGGCGTGGCGAGCAAGTCTGAACCCGAACAATGATGAATTTCTCGCGCTCTGACTCACTGGCTTTTAATTTCAGACGGCGAGGCTCGAGGCGATCTCTTCTCATGGACTAAATAACAACGTGTCACTGATGAAGACGACTGTGTTATGCTCCAGAGAGGAATGTGACAGAAATCGGTCAAAAGCCTCTTGATTCTACAGCTGCTGGTAGAGCGACTTCAGAAGGTGGGGATGGACATAAGCTGCATGGCGTGTTACCAAAAACTGGGTTTGGATGCATGCTAAATGAGTTTCTCTGAAGCCATACATGCTAGAATAGCCTGAAGATGAAAATAGCCACCACAACTTTGCACAAACTGAATTTTGTGATGTTTTATTAAAGCTCTTTCGTGGTTTCACGTCTTAGCATAAGACCTGTCCATCCTCCAACTTGGATTAGTACTCATCATAATCTGAGGACAGTGCCAGGTCAATATCTTTTTATACACACACGTAATCTAACACACAGGGGTCAGTCAAACCAGCAGAATAAAACACACACATACCCAGACCTGGGAAAGACATAAAACACTATTTCAGACATGGAAACCAGAATGCAAGGTAGTTTCAAGCATTTTGAATACAAGCTTACCAACTCAAGATTTAAATATATATAGTTGGATTAGAGCCAGTTAGTTGCACTTAATTTTATTGAGGGGTGTTAGAGGAAAAGGGGTGAACACAGAGGCCAGTCAGGTTTTTTTCAGAGTGAATTTCAAAACCCCTTCACTATAACTGTATTTGTCTGCCACATCAACACCCATTAAAATACTCTCATTTTTGTGGTTCTAACATGAATCATGAATAGATAAAACCCAACTGTGTTTCCTAATGTACTTTTGGTTTGTCCATCATCAGCCCGATGTGTAAATATATTTGGTAAATGGCACGTTCATCTGCGGTGCAGACATGTTTGTTGTTCTTTTGGCCCTTCCAGCCCTCTATCCCTGTTTGACCCCGCGATCAAAATATCACATCCCGCTCAACCTTTTTCCAAGTAGGGAAAATAAACACGACGGTGAATTACAAACAGCTTGCTGTCAAAACAATGTGGTGTCATATGCACTCGAACATCTCCTCCTTGGAGACGGTGTTTGTTGAACTCGAAGCAGGAAAGTGTGTCAAAGTTTCACAACCCTTTCTCTGCTTTGTGCACGAGCAGCAGGAGGCAGGAAAACGCCACTCTGTTTCCTTGAGATGACACTTTTAGAAAAGCGGTTTTTGAAAGTTAATTCGGTAGCGTTATAATCCTCATACATTTAAGAGAAAAAAAAAAGACATCAAAGTTGAAAAGTGACATGAAACACTGGCCACAAACAGCCTGCAGAGTTTCTGAAGATTTCTAGATTCATTCAGTGAATTGGATCAGAAAAGATTTTTCACTTTGGATCTTCATGTTTCACAAATCGTCAGAGAGCACAATTATGAAGTTGGTGAATCAATTCTATAATAAAAGGCATTTTAACTTTATAGACCATCTTAGATCTTGTTTATTGCAGAATCTATAATACTTGTCCTAAGTAAATCATTTGTGTATGAGCGCGGTTTGTGATCTACAGTTTTTATGCATTGGACCTGGCATCTAAACCAGGCCCAGTTCAAAACTCTTGTGTAAGGGGGACTAATTTCTTCTATAATCTGTATGCACATTGATATATGGGTTAGACTGCCAATTTAAAAACCAAAACCATCAATAAGTTTAACAGCAACAAAAGCTCTGATGAGTCAAAAAGTAGAGTAGTGCAAATTAAACAATAAAAAAAAGCAGCAAAACATGGCTCTTCTGTCAAAACAGATGTAATTATCTTTTAGATCATGGAATTAGGAGAAAAATCTTGGAACTAAAAACTTTTTCTGAACTTACCCCAACTCTGAAGACGGAGAGAAAAAATCTAATTCTAGACTGTTTTAAACTGCGGGAGATGATTTAAAAGACAATTTATTGTTGATTCTGCCTCAGAACCAACACCGTTTTCCAACTTCACAAATGAGCTACACAAAGACATGTCTGAAAATCTCTAATTATTCATGCTCAATGCAGATCGAGCCACAGCAACGCAAAAGAAAAGTTGTTAGTAGCAGAAAAGTGAGAAGCACATTTCATGGCATATGACTAAAAAGGCTGCAGAAAGAGTGTTAGTGAAACTTTTTAAAGGGAAGATGAAACAAGGTAGCTTCAACAGAAAGAGAGAAACAGAGAGCCAGTTTTATAGTAGAGATGAGGAACTCTGCACCAGAAACTTCTGTTTCACTTTCTCTGCCTCAAACTCAACTTGAAGCAAGACTTCACAATGAAAAGGAGAAAAAAAAACCTTGAAGATGAAAGGCAGGAAACACAGCTGCTGTCACTGGGGTGTGAACGACAGGTAGGCTTCTTCCACAAAAACAGAAACTAGAACTACACAGCGGAGAAAAATACTAAAAAAAATCCTTAAAACGCTCCAATCTGTGCAATTCTAAAACATCTGACAAGAACAGAAATCCTGGAATTCACCTTGAAAACCAACAACCATCAACATTTGTAACAAATAAACTGTTCTTTCAGTGGTGTGACAGAAACGAGAGCCTTCGGAAGTTTCATTTTGCGTATTTAATTCTGAGATTATTGGTTTGCAATCGCTTTGCATGCACGCTGCTCCGTTTAAAGTCCAATCCTGTATTCAAATATGGCTGTTTGTGCATTCAACTTTGTATGTCACTGAGCAAAGTAGATTACCGCGCGGCAGCACAGGCAGAGCACGCCGCCTGAAAAACCGAGCTCGAGCGAGCACAGCGGCGGCCGTCCTGCAGCGGCAGGCTGAGCGACGCCCCCTGGCAATTATCAGCAACAAACTTCAGTGACCCATGACTCCA